ATCCTTTGGCTTCCAGGCACAAAAATGGTGGGAAGACTATGCTGGGAGAAGAGTGAGTAACTAACACTTTAACCCTAATCGTTAAAACACATTTGCTTTAAAGTGACCCTGTCACCACAGGGCCATTTGTACCCAATGGGAACACTGTAAAAGAAGAGGCAATATACCTACCTTTTTGGGGGCTCATGTGAAATAAGGCTTTTCAACTCCCCAGTTGCTGCATCACTTTTACACTTCAGGCATGTAGAATTTTGGCAAAAGTTCTGGCGAACAGATTATCTAAGGTTATTCAGAAGGTAATAAACTCGGATCAAAGCGGATTTATGCCTAATAGGTCAACGGCAGACAATGTGCGAAGGTTATATGTGAATATGCAAGTTCCCTCGGAGATAATGGGGAATAGAGCTTTGTTGTCCTTGGACATTGCTAAAGCATTTGATAGTGTGGAATGGGAGTACATATGGGCAATATTAAGAGCATTTGGGGTTGGCCCCCGATATATTTCATATATTCAATTACTATATGCCAATCCTTTGGCTAAAATAGAAGTAAATAAAGCACTATCACCAGCCTTTAAATTGATGAGGGGGACTAGACAGGGGGTGTCCCCTGTCTCCCCTGTTATTTGACCTATCGATAGAACCGTTAGCTAATTTAATAAGAAACTCAGATAAGATAATGGGGGTTTAAGCTGGGTAAGGCAGAGGATAAGATACTATTATATGCAGATGATACGGTGGTCTTTTTGGCTGATACTAATCACTCTCTATTAGAGGTAATGTCTCTACTTCTGGAATTTGGTAGGTTCTCAGGGCTATGTGTCAACTGGGAAAAATCTATGTTACTTCCGATTGATCCTCTTCCATGTCCACTGCCGATGCAAATTCAGCATATACAAATAGTGGAGTCTTTTGTTTATTTGGGTGTAAGGATTAGAGTAAACATCATTTTTTTCTGTTTTTTTTGTTTGTTTTGGTTATTCCCCTCTGTGGGTCTGTATGTAATGTTGTCTGTTTTGTATTGCTGTTTTAATATGTAATTGTGGATGTACAGTATATGTTGTTTTATGTGTTGTACTATTAAAATAAAAAAAGTATTGAATTAAAAAAAAAGAATACCTGCCCCCTCTCCTACATTGTGGTTCCTCTTTCTGGTTTAGCATGCCATCCAGGCATCTAGCATTTTTAAAGTGAGAGATTAGCAATGACAACCTCCTTGTTTTTCTCATGACAGGATAAGTGAGCGTGATCCCCAAAGCAAGCAGCAATATATTTCTTAGCAGCCACCTTTAAGTATTATGCCTGAATCCAGGCCCAGCCAGCACCACATAGGACTATATTTGTGAGGAGGACTAACATCTCTTTTGTGGGCATTAAAATTACATCTTTTTGTTTACAAATAGGATAAATCCTAAGTCAGGATTTTTTTCAATTTAAAAAAAACTTACATGGAGACAGTGTTGATTCAGGGCCAAATAAGAGATTTGGTATATAATTAATGCCAACAACGCAAATCTGTATATGTGAATGGCACAAATGGTCGAGCAACCCAAAATACGCTTTGGTAGGGATGTCAAGATCAGCATTTCTCAACCCTTCTGACAAATGCCTGAGTTGTTATACTTCAGTCTGGGCTTGTAAATTACCTCTGCGGACTGGGTATTGTATTATTGGGTATTTTAAATTGTTCTTTTTGTTATTATTATATTTTGAAAAACACTACTCCAAATGCATTCTTCCAAAATCAGTTATTGCATAACACTTACAGCTGAACTACAGGCTGTAATAAAAAGCACCATTTAATCATGAAAAATCATTAAATATATTTTTTAAATGTAACTTCCATATGTACAGTAGCTAAATCTGTTCTAAAAACAGCCTTTAGTGATCCCTGCATTGTAGGACTTAAACTGAGAGTGGCAGGGACTCTATTATTTAGCACAGTATCTTAGGCCTACCTTCCTGAAGGTGCTTGCAGCATCATCACTGATGTCCTTTTTTGTTTAGTCAGGAGACTGGTGACCAAGCTATATTGCATATCTGTAGTGGGTAAAGCTGAGGTCATCAACCAGGTGCATTGCTAGGATTGTAAAAGACCTCTGATGCAGACTGGAGGGGAAGTCCTCTTAAGATTTAGACTTAGGTTGAACTCAATGGACATGTGTCTTTTTTCAACCTGAGTAACTATGTAACTATGTAAGATTCCCCCCAAAGGTGTGACGTGGCACGACAGAGCTGAGGAGGAGGCGAGACAGGCTTCCTTGGGCTCTGCAATGCCACTGTATCTAAGTTCTTAAAAGGTGATTGCAGGGCACCCAGGTCACCAACCTATGCTGCTTGGTAGGGATGTCTAGATCAGCGTTTCTCAACCGTTTTCCAGTCATGACACCTTTTAAAAGTATGCAAAATCTTAAGGCACCCCAGAATTAAAAAAAAAGAAACATAAATGTAAAAGAAACGACGTTTGGTCCCATTCCAAACATTGAAATACCTAACCCTTAGCCTAGACAGTGGTCTATTATGGATTTTAAAAGAGAACCCCAGGCAGAAAACTAAAAATAAATTACATGGAATTTCTCCCTTCACATTAGAGTTTCCCTCCTTTTATATTAGAACCCCCCACCTATACTTTAGAAGCCCCCTTAGCATTAGAGTCCCTCTGTCAGGCTGGACGGCGGGGCCGTGAGTGGAACCCCTTGGCAGGGACGAAAAGCAAAGTCCGAGATCGAGGTAACAAAAGGGCAATCCAAAAGAGTAGTCAAGTCCAGGTCGGGGCAGGCATCGGATTCAAAGGCGGGGGCGGCCCCTCTGGGTCCCTGACACCCTCCTTTCACATTAGAAGCTCCCTATGCATCAGAAGCCCCCTTTACTTTTGATACCCCCTTTCACATTAGAAGCCCCCATAAATCAAAAGCCCTCTTCACATTAGAGTCCCCTCTTTCACATTAGAAGCCCCCCTTTAAGCAAAAAATTTGAAGGCACTCCTGACAAAGCTATAAGGCACCCCAGGGTGCCACAGCACACTGATTGAGGAACGCTGGTTTAGATCATAAGGCTAAGTAAAAGGAATTATACTTTTTGTGGCAGGTAAAACAGTTCACATATTTTATTTTTTACATACTATAGTATATTCTGTATACAGTATTTTGTATAATTGAATCTGCATATTTTTCACATAAACCATTTGGCATGTACACTGACTTTAACTGTAAAATTTTAGATTATCGATGTAAATTATTTTGGAGAAGTAATAAAACAATGCAGTTTCACTGTGAGTGCCTGCAATGTTACAAAAATGTTTCCTCAAGAATGGTCCTTCCTAAAAGCCTTCTTACTTAACTGGAAAAGGTAATTTATCACTGGTGTCACATTTTGTAGAAGTTTTATTGAGGCTCCAGATTAACTGTGGAGAAGGATTATTGAAGCAGTACACTGAAAAATGAACCACACAACCTATTCACTACACAAGGACTGGTAATGTATAGTGAAGCTGAGTGTTCCTGTCTTCTTTTAGTACTTTGGCATAAAAGGCAACAGTACATTTTTAAAGAAGAACTTTGTTAAACATTGTAGTTTTACATCTAACCTGAGAACTAGTACATATTTAATTCTGACAACTGCTCCACCCATTAAAACACTTTAGAAAAAACATATAATTTTGTTAATCAGGGACATATACAGCATGTTCTGGATGTGGTTAGAAAAAGGTGAAATATTGAGGAAGCTTCGGCTGATCCTCCGGCTAGCTTCGGTTGCGGGACCCTTCGGTTCAATTGACTGCTGTACGGGCTATTCACTATAGTCCATACAGCTCCCGAAGGCGGGCGAGCGGCTCAGCCGAGCCAAAGGCATATGTTTCGGCTCGACTGAGCCGAAGTGATAGCTGAAGCGGGGTGAACGGCCGGTTGAAGAATGCCTCGCAAATAACAGCTGGGCGGACCCAGCCGTGATCTCAAGGCTGGCTTCACCCAGTTGTAATGGCAGATCAGCGTCCCCAAATGACCTGGGGGCGCTGTACTGTCATTAAACAATGACAACTGGGCGGAGCCGGCCGTGACATCACGACCGTCTCCGCCCAGTTGTTAATTATTCTCCGGGACCTGCTAGAAGACTCTAGCAGGTACCGGCCAATAGGAAGAAATAGTTTTTTAAGTTATTTTTTTGCTTTTTAAAAAAACGTTATTTATTTTTCAATTTTTTAATTTATGCACATTTTAAAACAATTTTTCAACTTTTTTTTAAAAACTTTTTACACTATTTGCTATTTTACACTATTTGCTATACCACGGAGGTACCGAGCAGGTACCAAGCAGAATAGCCCAGTCGAATACCGCTCGGCGGCATTCGGCTATTCACTCACTGCCATTCAGCCCCTATGTGAGTAGAAGCGAACGGTAGCGAGCGAGCTGCCGGAGCTTCGGCTCAGCCAATGCAGATGTTGGATCGGCTGAGTCGAAGTCCTTCTGCACTTCAAATCAGCCGAACATGCAGAGCATGTTCGGCTGACCGAAGTGCAGCCGAAGCCAGCTGATGTATGGCTGATTTCAGCGGATGTATGGCTGAATTCAGCCGTACTGAGCCTGAAGTGAATAGCCGAACGTTGTTCGGCTCACGTCACTACGGCTCGATTATTCACTCATTCAGCTTTGTGAATAACCCTGTAAATGTTCTCCGAATATATAGAATATATATACTATATTTGTCCTTATTAGATCTCTGAATTAAATGCTTTTTACTGGATTGAGACTTGATGGACTAATGTCTTTATTCAACCTCAAATACTATGTAACTATAAAATTGCTTAAAGTAGACATTGATGTCTGTATCTTGGCTGGGAAAATCCACTCTCTCTATTTGCTCCGGTGAGGGGCAATCCTGAGTTGGTAAGAGGAAATGTATACAACAAAGTAACTTGTTCCTTTTCACTGGAGACAAAATTAGATAATATATGAATTTATGCCTTAGCTACAATTGTGTCTAATTCGACTCTTTCCTTTCTAGAGCTGGAAACATTTCTATCAGATGTGTTAAAAGGAGAAACTTTATCAAAGAGAGCAAAAGATAAGAAAGACAGCCTGATAAAGAAAATTAAGGATGTTAAACTGAAGTAAGTATGTCTGAATAAGCAATCCTTTGATTTAGAATTTTTGAAATGTAAGCAAAATCATGCAGGAGGAAAATTATTTTATTAGCAGAGGTATGGCTCATGATGTTTAAACCAACTTGTTTTACAGATAACAACCACGTCCACAGATTGATGTCTAGTTGGCCCAGGGAACAGCAGATGAGTGGGTTATTGTAGTATACCAAGTAATATTGTTATAGGTCATTATGAAGAAGAATGGAGGGGTATTTTTATGATGGTTCAATAACCTCGCATTTCAATGATTTTGATAAAGTTATGGTAGGGCTGACATAAAACGATTTGTGACTATGTTGACCAATAACTTTGGAGGCTTTTTCATGGTTCGCCACCATCCTTTACAATAGTTTTGTATCCTTCCGGATACAGGTTTCAGAAGGCCTCCTGAATGCCAGCATGTTGAAAAGCCAATGTCTCTTTTGAGAACTCACTGGTGAACTGTGTTGAATCTTTAATACTTCTTGACACCACTAGTTGCCACATCTTGCAATTCATATGCTCTTTCACGCTGGTCACGTAATCTCTTGGGGTACCATTAGCATGAGCTTTTTCCATAAAGTGTACTGAGGCAATCACGTGGTCTGAGGTCACTTGAAGTTTGACAGCTGCTAGATTGTCTACTGCCCAACCTTATACATTGGGTTTAATTTACTAAGTGAGGAGTTTTCACTTTGCAAGGACATTTTCACTTAGCTTAGTGAATAAGTCAAAGCTCTACTCATTTCAAACATCAAATCACATGCAAGCAAAAATACTGATTTTTAAAAAAAAACTTTCCTTGCATGTGATTGGGTATTGAATTGTCACCACATTCACTAAGGTAAATGAAAATTCCCTTTCAAAGTGAAAATCCACTTTGCAAGGTGAACATGCTCTACTCCTTTAGTAAAGCAACCCAGTTGTCTCTGATCTTCTGAGTGGTGGTGGTAGCTGTCAAATAGCAACTATAAGACTTCAGGTGACCTCTGAATCCCTGACATGCCAGCTAATGCACCAGAACGATAATAATAATTAAAAGCTAGATATTTCGATTTCATTATAATCTCAGCTGGTTCATGTTAGGTGTCATAACCTAGAGCAAGAAATCAGACTTCATGTTGTTCTGGTCTGATTGAGCAGTCGACTCTGACTGGTTGCTACTAAAATAAGGTGCTCTTTACTGAATTGGATCCTGTAGCTGTGTTTTCTATTCAGTTAAGCATTGTAATTAGGATTTGGTTGCTCTGCAGGTCAAATACCCAACTAGGCTACTCAAATTATATCTCCTATTGGAAAACCAGAAAGGCCTTCATGTTGTTTAGGCCCTGTTTAGCTGCATGAATGCAGATGTATGTCTTCTGCACACACACACTAAACTTTTTTAAAGCGGAACTAGACCCATCAATTTCATGTCTCCTAAAACAGTTACTTTTAAGGCATGCCAACTGTCAAGGTTGCCAGTGTGCTTATTTCAGCTCTCAACCGATCGTTCAAGCCCTCAAATGGCTGATGTCATATCTGGTCAATCCAAATAGTGCAATCCAAATAGAGGCTAAGATGTCACCTTCCTTGGCTATAAGGGATAGGAGGTTGTAGTTCTGTTTTAACTGGAAATGGTCTTTGTTACTTATAGCAACTAGTCAGACTCCAGCTGGCAATATTTTAGTAAAGGTTAGAAAACAGAGGTGAGGACCTGACTATATTTATGGATATCATGTATAGACAATACCCTTGTGTATTTGCTTTCAAATGTCATAGAAGTACTCTAGGGGTATATGTTTTTATTGACATATTTTATTATGCTGCTTTTATTTTATGGTTTTGTAGAAAGCCAAAACCACTGAAGTTAAAATCTATCATACACATCGGTCCCAGACATTTGTAGTGGCTCCTTCTCGCAGTCATGAATGTGGCTCTATAACAGCGATAATTAATTCCAATCATCCATTATCTACATGTCGACATTATCCAGTTTCTGACATTATTCATGACACATACAGATCAGGCGTACACACATATTGATTGACCTAATGCTAATTTTACAGTTCCAGCAAAATGGCCAAATATCATTTATGTAACATTTTACACATAGGAACTGTCACATGAACAAACATGTCACTTGGCTCCTGACAAATGGATACTCCAATATCACCCTGAAAACAGGATGTCAGTGTAGTATCAATCCTAGGAAGGGTAAACAAGATAAAACCGAAAAGCGTATCCACTATGGACATCTATTATATATATAAAACTTTGGACAATCAGGAATGGATTTGTAAGCGGCATCTTGTTTGCACAGGGTTGTCTGATATGTTGATGATACATAACAAAAATGCAGGAGCTGGAAAGGAAAAGTGTAAATTGTGTATATACCACCTAGCTGCTTAATGGGGCCTACTAATGAGTACACATAACAGTCAAAATTTAGTTGCTATGGGTAGTAAATTTACTTTGCTTCAATTTTTATAAGTCAGCCACAGTGCTATTCATGTGACATGGTGTTAGTGGTAAGAACTGTCATTATGTCTCTACAACCACCAATCAGATCTAAGTGTCAGATTCCAGCTCTCATTTTGTATGGTAGGTATAAATTAATAGGATAGAACTTAGTCATTGGTACTTCAAGCCCAGTGGGGTTTCCTCCCAATAATTATCCAACTCTCCAATGATCCATAAAAATCAGAGAGGATATACCTGGTGATTAGTTTAGACAATATACAATGGCAGAAGCCATAAATTTGAAGCTAAAAGCCAAAGCTTGTTTATTTAAACTTATTGCACAATGTAGGCCCCCTTCACACCTATGTGTTGGGTTAATGCACAGTAAAATGTTGCATTTTACTGGAGACTAACAAGACACTCAGTAATGCATGTCACTATGTCAACGCATGCCACCATTGTGTTGCAGTGCCACAAATACAATAGGGGCTGACAGAACTCAGTGTTGCCTTCTGTAAAAAATGTGCTGCAGGTCCAGTGTTCTGTGTGTTGTGGTGCCTAGCCATCCCATTAGAAATTAATGAGCTGCCATAACGTAATGCACATTAATGCACGCCACAGTGCATGTTAACCCATCAGAATGCTGAGGTGTGAAGGAAGGAATGGCACACAGGTGGGGAAAAAAGCTTATATAGGTTTTAAACATTTTCAATTTAAAGAGAATGTCACTTTGCCCATGAAGTAGGTCTGGATGGTCAATCGCCAGGGCCAAATACTGCCACACTGTCATGTAAGGGAGTGGAGATAAAAGAAGAACTCCTGGAAAAACTTTTATTAACCCTTGCAGTGGGGTACCCCTGTACTACAAAGGGTGAGTGCTCATTTTCGTCTAGGTGTGAAAATTAAAAAGTTATACTCCCCTGATCCTCAGATCCGGCTTGCTCATAGACCGGTCATTTCAGCCTCGCTCCCACTCCGCTGCAGTGGCCTAAGGATCTTTGAGTCATCAATTCCAATACACTGTGTATAGGACATGAGGATGTGAGGGACATACCATCGCTGCAGCGTAGCAGTAGACAATCTGGAGGGAGCTATGTGACACCCACTTGCTACAAGATTCTGGTGTGTATAACTTTTTTTATTTTAGACCCTAGAGGAAAACAAGAAGCTAACCTTTGCAATGCGGGGGTAGCCCTACTGCAAGGGCTAATAAATGTTTTGCCCGGAGTTCTTCTTTAACTCTGTGTAAGCTCTGATGCTGATTGACACGCAGCTTATACGGGATTTAGACTTAGATCTTCTGCAGGTGAATGGCAATGGTGCAAGGGGAAGAGAAAGAGTATTTATTGGTACAAATGTGTTGACTTATGGGCTGAAAACTAATCATAGCTATCAAGAGAGCATTTATTGGTACATAAGGTCTTGCCTGACTTATGGGTGTGCAGGTTATTTTTTCCACATATATGATACCGAAGGTTATTTGTCTTAGATGTAAATTATTTGTAGTTCATATGATCAGTAATTTTGTTTAATGACCATAAGGGTATAGTCAAACCACAGCACAGTGCTCTTTAGCCATGCATTACAGCACACGTGTGCAGTGTGGGTGCATTGGGGTTCACTGCGCTTTACCGCACAGCAAGTGGCATCCATGGGCCCTTATTGTTAGCAGTGGAAAGATGTTTCGGACACTGAATGTCGTGGGAACTCTTTTTAATCCTAAATGTTGCAGATTCTTCTGTAGAAGAGAACATGTGATAGTTTCTAGGAAAGCCTCTGAACTTTGTTAGACTGTTACAATAACCACTATATGTATTAACGTAATTGTTCAGTATAACCGTTTTCTGAATTACAAAACATGAATTTAATGTATGTGTTTCTTTTTTTATTTTCTAGCCACCCACAAGATTTTAACGATAAAGGTAATGTGTTGTGACTTTATAGCCCTGTGTCATTGTTCACTGCCATTGCTGTAGACAAGTGGATTTTCCAGGCTTTAGAGCGGAACATACAGAAATGAGGATCATAGCACACCCTACTGTCAGAGAGTGAAACTGCACTTTAATGCTGACCATTTATGTTAAAGAATGTACTTCCTGCCTGTGATCGTTAACCCTTAACAGGCACCAGACTTTTTTTGAAATAGATGTGTATCCGTCTATATGCTTCTACCATGGGGAAGTATGAGAGTATTTATTGATACAAATGTCCTGCCTGACTTATGGGCCAATAGCTAATGATAGGCAAAAAGGTCACAAATACAGTAAATATGTAAATTGATAAAGTACTTAAAATGTAGCAATTTGTGACTGAGGATAAGCATATGAGATCCTGACACTTGATATGCACATGCTTATTTCAGGTCAGAGGCTAATGTTAAGGATGACAGTCTTGAAGTTTGCACAGTCAAAAATAAGACAGCAGTGGCGGTTGCCATGCTTCTACCCTGACAGGTTCCTAATAAAGGCAAACTTAGCTGAGAGAAATACGGACATTTACCTTGCTGACCTCTTTCTGAAAATGCTACTTGATTGGCTATTTCTGGATTCAACACTTTCTGCTTTATTGACACAGATCATGCATACAGCCATTAAAGGCATGAATCCTGATCTGACTCAGAATACACTGAAGAATTTAGATAGGTATGATAATCAGGTAGATAGGTAGATAGGTATGATAATCAGCTGACCTACATCAGTGGTAGGCAACCTCTGCACTCCAGCTGTGGTGAAACTATAAATCCTATTATACCTCTGACTCTGCTTGTGGCTGTAATGCCACACAGAGCTTGTAGTTCCAGAACAAGTAGAGTGCCGAGGTTGCCTATCCCAGGCCTACATTACCAGGAAAAATCACCAATGGCAAACTTCCACGTTGTCACCCTCGAGTCTCCAGCCCAATGCTTGACATTAATTATTTTGCCTTTTTTTAAATTTTGTAACATAGTCCCTCTTATCTGGGAGATAGTAGTACCACATTTCTGTTTTTATTTTAATAAAATTACAACAAAAATTGCAATCCTTTTCCATAATTTTCATCCTATATTTTCTTTTCTGTATTTGGATTGGAGGAAAAGAAGTGTTCAGTTACACCATATGTTTTGCCAGTCCAAAAATAAGTGTTCAAAAGCTATCTTTCAATTAGATCTAAAATATCAAGATCATTTTTAATTATTGCAGATTTCATGAAACTATTAAATGTTATCAAATGATAACTTTGAAATGCGTGTGGCCACACCAATTTCTAATGTGTGAACTAAAATGTACTTAGGATGAGCTTATGGTGAAAATTTAACAACCCATCGACCAGTGGCTGGTAAACTCCTAATCTGAGCCAAAGTATTCAAGTACAATTATTTCCCATGAATCTGGGTGTCTGAATATATTCCCTGTGCCGAGAATCAGTTGGCTTTTTGTTCATCCGTGTTCATGGTTTACTGAGTTGATCCCTTTCTCTATCAAAAAAACAAAAAAACACCAACAGATTTGGTTTTAGATATACTTTACCAGATATGACACAGTCAAGAACCAATATGCATCCAAGTAATATTCACAAGTACATGTCAGGTCATAATATATCGCTAGTGTCCATTGGTGGACTGCAGAATACCTTTCTGCATAAGATTGCCAGGATGACCTTTGATGTCACTCTCTTCCTTCGCTGGGTATCAGTTTTACACCTGAATGCTGTTCCTGCTACAATGAACAATTAAGTGTTTAAGGTTAGTTATCTGTATGTGTGGGCAGGGGACCCTTTTGGACCCCAGATGGCTTCCGAGTATTCCTCTGATGACAACCCTAATAAGCCCATGTTTCTGGATCTGTGTGCAGAATCCAAGGAATGGCTGTCGTAGAGCTCAGTTCCCAATAGGTACTTAGAGGTTTGGTTAAAGCGGGAGTATCAAAGTACCGGCCCGCAAACCGGTACCATTCAGCCCGCAGCCGGCTGTCAATGCCATACCTGAGTTGTGGGAGCAGCTCCGTGATCTTCATCTCTGTCAGATGCAGACCAGATAGCTGCTCCTGCCAGCTACGATGTTCTGTCATTCCATTGGACCAGTGACTTTCTCGGACTTCGGGGTGTGTGAAGGGGCTCGGCCATGCGCACAAGCGCACTGCGGCACCAGGTCCGTAAATCTCACGGATCGACAAAGTTTAGCAGCGTGTGCAGGCGTTTTCATGCAGCAGTTGCCACTTAACCATTAACTTGAGTGGGGACAGCTGCCGCTTGTAAACACCAGATTAGGGATTCCTGCTGCAGAAAAAACGCAAATTTTAAAGTGAATGCAATTTTGCAAGTGGCCCCCATGGGAAAAGAAAATTTGTCAAGTAGCCCCCCCGAGTGAATTGAGTTTGAGAACCCTGGGTAAAAGTTTACCTAAAGCCAAGCCATTGTCACCTATTCTGGCAGAAACGTTTCCGGTGGGATTCTTTTCACATTCTGTTGTGTCTCTGGGACCACAAGCAAAGCCAAGTCTTCCTAATGCAGCACAGATGCAAAAAAACTAACACAAAGATACATTTTAGCTGATTACTGAAGAGGTTAAAGAAGTACTCCGGGCACAATTTGTATTAACCCTTGCAGTGGGACTACCCCTGCACTGCAAGGGTTATCTGCCCATTTTGGTCGAAGGTGGAAAATAACAAAGTTATTCTCACCCAATACGCCAAACCAGCCAGCTGTGGCAGCACTCCCTCATGTCTGTCTCCTCCTCCAATGCAGCGGTGGTATGTCTCTTGGCATCCTCACATCCCATACACTGTGTATAGAATGTGATGACTCAGAGATATTAGGCTGCTCCAGTGGAGGGGGAGCAAGGCTGGAAGGACTGGTCTAAGAGCAAGCCAGCTCCAAGGACCAGGTAAGTATAAATGTCAGTTTGGGAGTTTAAAAAAAAGAGCAAGTAAAAGGTAAGCAACAATTTAAATTTTGCTGTGTGAATGGGAACATGTAACTAAGAAAAAGCAGATGTTATTCCAATTTAGCTGCAAAAGTGGAAACACACTTTAAGTCCTGCCTCCTCTGGAACTAAGCTTGCCATCTAACAGCAGTTTCAACACAGATGGAAGGCCATAGGTTAGCTACCCTGATGTAGAGTATACATCCAGGACAGAGAAGCACATAGAAAAAGATTTGGGAAAAACAAAGGTATTTGCAGTCAACAAATACAGTAGTATGTGCACTTTGAAATGATTTGAACACCTTTATGTTTACTCGACAGGTTGCTTTTAGTTAGGGCTTTGGTTGTTAAGACTAGAGGTGTTTGTCAACTGAATCTTAACTATAAATGATTGTCCCTGATTAACGTGGCTTTTACAATATGCAGAGTCAGGTAGGGTTACATACAGGGCAGCCCATCCCAACTTAAGCTAATCTGTTTTTGCCAAAAAGTTTGTATAATGAGTATAAATAAAATAGTTTTCTTGTAGACTGCTAAGTGCTGGTATGTTTTACATAACTGAAAAGCATTATAGACAATGAATAGGTATGTAGTAAACATTGAAGGAGAGGATTTCCTACTACAACTAGTGTATTGTGTAACTGAAATTCTTGTGTAATGAATTTCCTCCTTTGGTAATGACTCACACAGAATCTTTCTGTAGACTCTGGTCTGGCAAATTCATTTACAGGGATTATCATTTACCCATGTGTCTGGAATATATTTATTATTGATTGAGTGAATGGTCAAGGCTGTTTGGTTCCAAGGCATATTGTAAAACTGAGTTCCTCCATCCGTGCTATACTGTGCTTTCCCACCATAGTATGAAGCAGTTAAGTAGCTACTTGTAGCTCTAAAGTGGAGCTCTTTTTATTTTTGACAGAATGGAGAAGGATTACAATTTTTTTCAGTTTTTTCCAGCTGTCTCTATTGGCCAGGAAAATACAACCTGGTCAATCACTTCTTTTCCCGAGAAGGCTCACAATGGAATGTCTTTCAAGATCAGGGAGTGTAACAATTCAAGGTATGGTGAGAAGGGGCTAAAGCAATCAAAAAGCTCACGCTAATAAGTACGTAGCATAGTAAAGTCTTCTTAAAACAAATGGTATTCACATGTCTCATTCCATCATATATCTCAAAGACAAAAGGGATTATTCCACATTTCAGGACTGTGGGTGGAACCAGGCAAATCATGGCTTTTCACCTCATTGGCCAGATGAACATCCACAACCACTTGTATATCATGGAAATATAGCCTAATATTATAGAGACATTTATTTCACCACATAGAGTTGTTTTAGGCTATTTGACCATCATCAGTGCAGTGTATAGAAACCTTCAGTGCTTCATCTTAACACATAACCAACAGATTATGAGCCCAGGCACCAAACAGAACACTGCAAATCAACAAGAGCCACACCCAAGCTACTAAAAGATGGCATGATGTTCAGATATGAAGTTTGCAATTGCAAAGCTCAACAATACCAATTACCAGCTATGGAAGTTTAAGCATTAAATGCCGCAAAGCAAAGACGACTTGTAGCAAGTACTCAGGAGACAAGAAGAACAGGCAAGCAAAAGCAAATATAAGTCTGCTATTGGAAGACGACTAGCTCATCCACATAAGAAAAGAGAATACAGCTAAACGTATGTGGACTGCGTTACAAAGATTGCATGAGCATTCAAACCTAAACAGTAAATTACATCTGCTACGCATGCTATATAAGATGAGGCTAGAAAAAAGGCCAGGAAATGCATGAACATGTGATTGCCATGCTGGAAATCGTAGAACAACTACACGCATTGGGGAAGGAAATTAAAGATAACCATGTGGTGACATTACTGCTATGCCACCTTCCAGAGTCAACACAATAGATGAATATGACAGAAGGAATGAAAATATGCACAATGAAGAAAACGAGAAAGCCCTTAAGGTGCATGAGACCACAAAGCAAAACAAAGAAAGCAGAGCGTGTTTTCGCT